GAGCAGCAACAAGGTTACAGCAACAATCCTACCTATTGAGGAACCCGTGTCTTGGTTAAGGACTCAAGGGTAAAAAGTAGGAGCAGAAACATTGTGAAATACATTAGATATAACTACAGTAATTTCATTCTGGACCCTTGGAGACACCAAATGTTTTCCCAAAATTTACAAATCCATAATTAATGCAATCAGAACACAAACTACTGTTAAATGATAACAGCAATGCACTGAACTCTACTCAAATAAAAGGGTCATAGACACATCGCTTCCAAAACAAGTTATGTAAAAGAATAGGAGACCAACATTACACAGTAGTTCAGCTTTCCAGAATTAATAGATATGCTAATTTAAGTCTCGGGATAGATATCAAGAAGACCTATTACTCTATTCACAACATATACACTATAAAACAAATCTCACTGGCATCTAACCCAAAACTTTAACAGATAATCTCTCTGCCTATCTAAAATAAAACTCTACAATTTGAAAAAGACAAAAAACTCTGAGGTCATGAATATGGGACGAGACATAGACAGGATTGCAAAAACTGGCAAAGCTCAGTAGTGGAGAAACTGTGGAAGATGGGAAGTGTCAGCAATGCAGAAGGAACTGTTGTATGGGACAGCAAGGCTTTGACAGGCTGTAGGTATCCGAGACAAAATCTTGCAGTTGGCATGTAGTTACAAATTACAGCCTGGTACAAAGGATACAGTATTATGATCATGGTAGTAGAAATGGAGTAACAGAAGCTAAGTAAACCCAATGGCAGTGAGAGTTTTAAATCATGGTAAAAGATATGTTATGGTGATGGTCACAAAATGAGGATGGGGTCACAATAAGGATGATGATAGACGTCTGAGTTGTAGTATTCTGACTGAGGATATAAAAATGCCAGAAAGGCAGCTGAAGGAGCCAAAGTTGGATTGACAATAGTCAACAAAAGAGGAAATTAAGATAACGGATCAGAGAATAAGCATATGAGAGGAAAATGGTTAGCAAAAGTCAAGAATTGAGACAAGAGTATCTCCTTGTCTCAGGGTAAGAAAATGTGCAATTGAAATGCAGGAATAAACATCGAGTTGCAAATATAATAATACTTTGATGAATTCATCAGAACAGATTCTAAATGACTGCCTATCATGAAAGAATACTGTTCATCAGTTTCCATCAAA